TCCCAGGGCGCGCGCCTGCCCTAGGAGGAGGAGAGGGGGGGGAGGAGGAGGAGGAGGAGGAGGAGGAGGAGGAGGAGGAGGAGGAGGAGGAGGAGGAGGAGGAGGAGGAGGAGGAGGAGGAGGAGGAGGAGGAGAAGGAGGAGGAGGAGGAGGAGGAGGAGGAAGAGGAGGAGGAGGAAGAGGAGGAGGGGAGGGGGAAGAAGAGGAGGGGAGGAGGAGGAGGAGGAGGAGGAGGAGGAGGAGGAGAGAGGAGGAGGAGGAGGAGGAGGAGGAGGAGGAGGGAGAGGGCCTCGAGACCGCTGCCCACGGATTCCCCGGCGGCCCGTCGCGGCCTTCGAGCGCCCAACCGCCAGCAAGGTGCCACCTCGAGACTCCCGCCGCCGCCCGCCGACACATGCCGACAGCTCCGAGGCCCCGCAGCGCAGGGCCCCCCGGAGGCCTCGAGTGGGCTCCAGCATGCTCTGCAGGAGGCCCTCGGGAAGCAGCACGACACTCACAAGGCAAGGCCTGTGAGAGCAACCTACATAACCCCAGGAAGCATAAGAAAGAACCCCCCCCCCCCTTCCGGCAAATCGATAACCCTTCCGCACCCTGGAAGCGTTACCTGGCACCAGGAGCCCTCCTCCTCCTCCTCCTCCTCATCCTCCTTCTCCTCCTCCTCTCCTCCACCCACGAACTTCCTCCTGCCCCCTCCTCCTCCTCCTTCTCCTCCTCCTCCTCCTCCTCCTCCTCCTCCAGGGGCCAAGCCTCCGCGAATTTGTTGTGTGTCCGGGTGCTAAACCTATCGTTCGGTTATTTCGGCCCCTCGGAATATCGAATAAAAATGCGGTGCTAAGATATCGCCGGGGGGGGTCTTAAATGCTTCCTGGGGTTATCAATATGGTATTATTCTCACCTTTTTGCAGCCGCACCCACACAAGGCAGCCCCAGCACCCCCCGGACGGGCCCAACACCCCAACACCAGCACCGAGACCTTAGACCCCCCGAGACGGTCCCAGAACCCCACCTGGGCCACTCGAAGCGACACCAAGAAGCTAGCACAAGGACTAAGAAAGCCCCCGGTGAGGCACAACATAAGCTCACTCAATAGTCCCAGGCTCAGCGCATAACCGTAGAACAATAGTCGGCAACTGTCTTACTCCTCTTTGTGTTCAGATTGCCCCAACTCTTCTGCGCATTGTCATCGTGATCTTGCTATCCCAACTTCTGACACCAATCCCCGTCTTCCAACTCCTCCCCCCCACATCATGTTCCTCCTCCGTCTCCCCTCCTCCTGCTCCTCCTCATATTCTCCCTCCTTCCATCACCCCCTCCCAACCTCTAAAAAAAAAACGGCATAGGCATAAACTTTCGGCGCTCCACGCGGAGCGCCAAAAGTTTACGTTTATGGCATCTTTCTGTTTCGATCCCCATCGCCCTCTGTACCTCCCTCTTCCCTCCCTCCCTCCCTCACTCACTCCTCCCTCCCTCCCTCCCTCCCTCCCTCCCTCCCTCCCTCCCTCCTCCTTCCCCCATCCCTCCATCCCTCCTCCCCGCCCGCCTCTCCTCTTGCTCCTTCGCCCTCCCCGCCTCCTGCTACCCATCCTTCTCCCCTCGCTCCTCCTCCTCCTCCTCCTCCTCCTCCTCCTCCTCCTCCTTCTTCTTCTCCTCAGGGCCCCAGAGGGGCCCCCTCCTCTTAGGGAAGACCACTCACGCGGATTTGGCAGCGTTCACACGGATTTTGTTAATTCTGGTGACAGGCTTCCACTGGCCTGGACACCCTCGGCCGAGAACAGTGGTTGGGGGTGAGGAAGGCATCGGCCAGAAATCGCCAACTTAAGGCGGGAGAACCCCAGCATCAATTCGAAACACCAATCCCACCAGCCCTCTGGGCGTCGGTGGTTTAGAGCGTTTCCTCTTCCACCCCTCCTTCTTCCCCTTCTGGGAGGGGTTTATCACTGTCCCCTATTAATGAGAGAGCGTGATCCACCGCCGCTTTACTGTGGAAAATTGCCAACCTTTTCCTCCGGAACCCGGGACCCCCCCCCCCCCCCTCCGAAAATCCCCCCCCCCTGCTGGACCCCACCCCCCCTTCCCCCGCGGCAAAACCTCCCCCTCCCCTAACCCCTCCCCCCCCCCTCCCCCTCGAAAACCGGGGGGGGGTCACTACCGGTTCGAACTCCTCCCCCCCCCCCCTCCGGATCCGGAAAACCGGGGGGGGTCACTACCGGTTGGAACCCCCCCCCCCCCTCGAAAACCGGAGGGGGTCACTACCGGTTCGACCCCCCCCCCACGCACCGCCAGCAAACGACTCCCGGTCCCTACCACCGCTCGCATGACATCCCCCACTGTTGTTCCCAGCACCACTGTCCTCACCACCACTGCCCCCGCTGGTTCCACCACCGTCCCTATTGTCCCCACCAGTGCCCCCACCACTGTCGTACTGTCCCCTGTTCCCGCAACTGTTCCCACCACGGTTCCACTCTCCCCACTGTCTCCACGGACCCAACCACTGCCTATCCCCACTGTCCCCACTGTCCCACTGACTCCTCCGCTGTCCCACTGAGCTGTCCCACTGTTCCCACCACTGTCCCCACTGTCCCCACCACTGTCCCCACTGTACCTCTGTCCCATTGTCCCACCGCCGTCCTCGCCGACGCCTTTACCAGTGTCCCCACCACCATTGTACCCTCCACTGTCCCAGTGTTTCCACCTCTTCCCACTGTCCCCACACCACTGTCCCCACCACCACCGTTCCCACCACTGTCCACTGTCCCCCCTGTTCCCACGATTGTCCCCACCACTGTCCCCACTACTACCCTCCCCACCGCTGTCCCACTGTCCCCCCACTGTCCCCACCACTGTCCCGCTGTTCCCTCACCACTGTCCCCACCAACACCGTCCCCACCACTGTCCGCACCCCCACTCGGTTTTCGAGGGGGGGGGGGGGGGTTCGAACCGGTAGTGACCCCCCCCCCTTTTCATGATGAGCTGGGGGGGGGGGGAGGGGTTCGAACCGGTAGTGACCCCCCCGGTTTTCCGGAGGGGGGGGGGGGGGGGGGAGGGGTTCGAACCGGTAGTGACCCCCCCCCGGTTTTCCGCCAGCAGCGGTAGAACACGCTCTTTCCAATTAATAAACACCCCCTCCCCCAGGTGACTGGGGGCCAACCAGGGTCCATGACGACACCCCCCACAATCCCTTGTACAAAAACAATGCAAAACACACTCAGCCTCCAAATCCGGAACATGCGCAGCCAACCCGATGCGCCCCCCCCCACCATCCCTGTCAAAAAAGCAATACAGAGTACACTTGGCGGAGGCGGCGGCGGCTGCGGCGGCGGCGGCGGCGGCGGCGGCGGCTGCGGCGGCTGCGGCGGCGGCGGCGGCGGAGGCGGCGGTGGCGGCGGCGGATTGGCCCCCAGTAGCTACCCATCCAAAGACGACTGCTGAATATGCTGAGGCTCAGGCCAGACTCGTGTGCTACGTATGTGTTGGGAGGGCGGGTGGGACTGAGCGAGACGGCTTCCGGGCGGGGGGGGGGTGTGACCCCTCCCCCTACCCCCTCCCTTGGACCTGGACGGGGGGGTCCGCGGGTCGTTGGGGCGTCCAAGATGGCCTGGGCGAGGAAGCCAAAATCATGGTTTCTAATTAAGGTTTTGGCCCCATGTTGGCCTCCTGGAGGGGCAACACTAATTCCCACCCGCCCCTTCTTTGATAGATCTCCTCCAAGGTGGCCCCAAGAAGCGCCCAGGAGGCCCCAAGAGGTCCCAAGATGTCCGCAAGATGGCCCCAAGAGGCCCCCAGGAGGCCCCCAAGAGACCCCCTAAGAGACCCCAGGAGACCCCCAAGAGGCCCCAAGAGGCTCCCCGAGGTACGCAAGGAGGCCCCCAGGACCGCCAAGAGGCCCCAAAGACGGCCCAATAGGCCCCCAAGCTCGCCATTGTCCTCCTCCTCCTCCTCCTCCTCCTCTCCTCTTCCTCCTCCTCCTCCTCTTCCTCCTCCTCCTCCTCCCCTTTTTTCTCCTCCCTCCTCCCCCTCCCTCTCCTCCTCCTCCTCCTGCTCCTCCTCCTCCTCCTCCTGTTCCTCCTCCTCCTCCTCCTTCTCGTCCTCCACGTCCTCGCCCTCCTCCATATCCTCCTGATCATATTCCTCCTCTTCCTCCCCCTCCTCCTCCTCCTGTTCCTCCTCCTCCTGCTCCTCCTCTTCCTCCTCCTCCTGCTCCGACGACGACTCCTCCTACATCCCCCCCCTTTTGGGGTATATGGCGGCATACCCCGCCCTTTGTTCTTCTGCGTGCTCCCCCGCTTCCCTCATCACCTCTACTCCCCTGGGGTTCATTTCTGGACGGGCTGGTGGGGATACTTTTTTGGTCGCGGCCACAAAACAACGGTCATGTGGCGAAGGCAACGTCCGGGCCACGGGCGAGGCTAATTGGCTAAAACAAAAACGCGGCCGGCCACCTCAGACGGCAGCTGCAGGCTGGGTGGCGCTGACCTGGCTGACGTACTGCTAGCTCGGGCACGCGCACTGGACAAAATGACCAGAATTCGAGTGGCCAACGCATGACAGGCGTAGGACCCCTTACCACAGTGGGCAGATCACTGTGCCCGGTGAAAATGGGAAGGCCACAGAAGTGAGTCGCCGACGCCAAACTGCAAACGGACGACCTGCGTAAGCCAGCCGGCTGAGCAGTCGAGAACCGTGTTGCAGCGCGCAGGGGGGCTGAAGGTGGGCACTGGTGGGGATACGCGAAGCGTTTAAAACTCAACCCTGCCCCACTCAGTTCTGAGTCTGGTGAGGAGAGGGGAGGATGTGGAACGAGACTGGCGCCGGGGCCTCTCTGTTAGGGACCCCGCCCTCGTCCTACATCGCATGCCCCCTCATCCACAGCCTCCTCTTTCTCACCCCGCTCCGCCTTCTGCGCCCACCCCTTCTCCGAATCTCTCCGCCGCGCTCCATCCCCCGTGCTCCATCCTCCGTCTCTATATCCCCCTCCCGCTGGCTGGACTGAGATAGCGGTCCTCCCACCTGGCGTGGCACCCGCACGTGCCCCCCCAAGGCTGCTGCATCTCGAACGGGTCACCTCGGCCATGGGAGGGGAGGGAGAGGGCGAGGAGCAAAGGAGGACGGGGGGAAGGAGAGCAGGAGCAGGGTGAGAAGGGTGAGATGGTCGATGGATCCTGGCACTGCCGTGAGAGAGATGTGGGAGAGGGGATCCGTTTATCATAACATGCGAAGAGCAACAAGCCTGGACGCGTCCTTGAGTGAAACGTTTTCGGCGGGTGCGTGCTACACGTATGCTGGCATGCATGTTATCTTTTGCTCTGCGACTGAGATGGGGAGAGGGTGGAAGATGTGGCGGTGAGGTGGGAAGATGACAGGTCAGGAAGCTCGCGCCATAGCTGACATTCAATCCCTATCACCCATCCCTTTGACATATACGGTCCATCCGTCGACTGGGGAGTCCCAGAGCTTTAGTCCGTCGTGCGACGAGCAACTGGAAGGGGAGGCTTTCTAAATTGACGGAGAGGTTGCGGATGAAGAGAAGGATGAGCAGGAGGAAGAGGACGAGCATGATGAAGGGCGGTGAGGAGGACCACCAGCAGGAGGAGCAGGAGCTGCAGGAGCAGGAGCAACAGCACGACCAGGGGAAGGCGGGCGAGGAACACGGCGGGGGCGGCAACGACGCAGAAAAAAAGCATCGGATCCAAACAGGAGGCCCGCGTTGGGGCAAGAGCTCCACGCTGATCAACGGGAGCAAAACGACGATGCCAAACTGTGCCCATCGATGCACCGAACACACCAGTGTGATGAACCGGAAGCAGGCCGATCGGACAATAGCAAATACGTAGCTGATTCTGAAGTCCTGTGTGTGAGCGTGTGCGCGTCTGCGTGCTGCAAGAGAAACACACCACACAACAGAAGCCAAAAAATGAGAATACACGCGCGCTCTGGCACGGGAGAGAAGATAGCATTAGTCATTATGGGCATTTGTGAAATGGGGGGTGACAAGACGGAAAAAGGAGAGAAAAGGGGGATGAGGCCGGAGGGAGGAGTAGGAGGGACGGAGGACGAGGGGGGAGAGAAAGGGGGAGAGGAGTCCGATGAGAAGGAATGATAAGTAGCGAGGAAGGGGGAGGATGGATGAGGAAGAGAAGAGGGGGGGGGTAGGAGGATTTATGACACTCTGGAATATGCTGCCACTGCACGCCCATCTCGCCAACTTCACCCTGCTACCGCAACTCATCCTTCTCGCATTCCTGAGCCTGCTGGCACTGCGCGCCATTCTGGCACCCGTAAGCTTACAACCAACGGGCCCCCTCCTCACATCATACAGGCTGATGCCGCCGCGGAGCGGAAACGACGAGAAGAACCGCGAGGGTAAAGGATGGGGGCGGGCAGGAAGACGGATGAGAAGAAATGAGGAGCGAGAGAGCTGGGCGGTGGAAAGGGAGAGTGAGGAGTAAAACAAGGCTAGGATCGGGATAAATCGCTCCAAAGCGTTCCGGAGCGCTCTCAGAACGTTCCGGAACGCTCTGGAGCGGCCGCGGCGGCCAATACATCCTCCAAACCCGCCGATTCTCATAGATTTCGAATTATCCCGATCCGATTGTGTCCCGATCTTCGCGTCGTTTTCGAGTGAGGAGGCGGAGGAGTGGAGGAGCTGGCAGGCCGAGCAGGAGGAGACTCCACCGGGCGAAGAGCAAGAAGGAGGAGGGAGGCGGCACGCGGTGGCCCGACGGGCGAGGAGAGGAGGGACGGGCCAGCAGCGGGAGGGGATGGGAGCCAGAGGAGGAGGAGGAGGAGGAGGAGGAGGAGAAGGAGGAGGAGGAGGAGGGAGTCGGAGGAGGAGGAGGAGGGAGTAATTAGGAGTCGGGCCGAGTCAGGTGGGAGGTTAAGAGGGTAGCGAAACAATCCTCCCCAGACTCTAGTGAGGGTCTTGACCTAAGGAACCCAAAATAAGGAACGAGGCCCCTTTTCTCGGGAAGTTGAACTTCGATTTCGTATCGAAAACCTAAGGAAAGCCTGAGGCAGGCTGCGAAACACTTAAGGAACGCGGAGCCCCTCCCCAACCAAAAGGGTTCCTTCTTCAGGGCCCCGACTGTAGGAGTTGGGCCGAGTCAGGTGGGAGGTTGAGAGGGTAGCCAAAACATCCTCCCCAGACTGTGTCTGACTATTTTTGAACTTTCCTCCTGTAGAGTGCCATGGCCCGACTCAGGAGTGGAGGCCCCTGAGCAGATGAGGTCTAAACAGATGGGGTCGGAGGATCTTGCCGCATCGCCGATGCATCGGCGATACGCTGGCGGCGTCGGCAATGCATCGGCGACGTCGGCGTGGAGGAAATTGGGCCCACATCGAGCCGCATCGCCGATGCATCGCCGATGCATCGGCGATGCGGCGCGATCCGCCGACCCCATCGCATCGAGCGGCATCGTCGATGCATCGGCGATGCGGCGCGATCCTCCGACCTTATCTGCTCCGACCCCACCTATAGGAGGCCTCGAGCCTGGGAGGAGAGGCAGGGAGAGGCGGAAGAGAGAGACTCGGGGAGATGAAGGCCCCTCCCCGCCCTCGAGGCGGGGCCGGAGCATCTCGCGCGGCGGCGTGCCTGGCCGGAAGGTGACGCTGCTGTCCTCCACCTGAGGCCGGCCGCAAGGGCCCCGCAGGAGCCCCGAGGGCGCGCGCCTCGCTGCCTCCCGCCGTCGCTGCTGAGGGCACGGTCGTGGGACCCCTGCCTTCGGGGCAGAAAGCCAATGGAGAGCCTCGAGGTGCCGTGCCAAGGGCCCATGCACGCCGCCGCGCCGGTTCAGGGCAGGCTGTGCCGCCCGGCGGAAGGGGAGGAGGAGGAGGGGAGCTGCGGGCGGGCGACGACGAGCGCGCAAGCGGGAGGCCAGGGCCGGCGGGGCGGCCGTCGCCGCTCGCCATCGTTCGGACGTCCATTCCCCGTGCGTTTCTGTCGGTCTCGCCCAGACGTCCATTCCCCGGGCATTCTCCAGCTTCGTGCGCTCACGCTTCGCCCGAGGATCCCAGCTGCCCCATCGATGGTCCATGCCGAACAGTGCACACCGCCGTGCATTGTTCGGTTTCGTCCGTCTGTTTTTCGCACGAGGACCCTGGATGCCCCTCGAAGGTCCATGCCGAAAGAAAATGCACGCGTCCGGGCGATGCAAAGGCTCCGTCTCCTCCTGAGGGGTGGATGATGCAGGCGGGTGACGACAGTGGAGGGAAAACGAGGGTTGGAGGGGACAGGGGCAGCAGACGTCCTCCTCCGCATCCGCCTGCTCCTCCTCCTCCTCCTGCCCCCCCTCCTCCTCCTCAACCTCCTCTTCCTCCTCCTCCTCCTCCTCCACCTCCAACTCCTCCTCCTCCTCCTCCACCTCCAGCTCCTCCTCCTCCTCCTCCAACTCCTCCTCCTCCTCTCCTCCTCCTTCCCCTCCTCCTCCTTCTCCTCCTCCTTCCCCTCCTCTATTTCTCCTCCTCCGCCTCCTCCACCTCCTCCTCCTCCTCCTCATCATCATCATCATCATCACCACCATCAACCCATCACCATCACCATCACCATCACCACCATCATCGTCATCATCATCATCATCATCATCAGCATCATCATCATCATCACCATCATCACCATCACCATCATCATCACATCATCATCATCACATCAGCATCAGCATCAGCAATCAGCATCAGCATCAGCATCAGCATCAGCATCATCATCATCATCATCATCATCATCATCATCATCATCATCATCATCATCATCATCATCATCATCATCATCATCATCCACGCCTCCTCCTCCGCTTACTCATCACCATCCCCCTCCCCCTCCTCCTCCTCCTCCTACTACTCCTCCTCCTCTTTCTCCTCCTCCTCCTTTTCCTCCACCCCCCTCCTAGCGCTTGCACGAGGGACATGTACATGAGCAAGCTCCCTGAGGAGATTCCGCCAAGCCCGACACCACCGAGGTCTCTGGGGAGCGGCCAGGGCCTCGCGGCTGCGTCGAGTACCACATCGGCGACTTCCGCATCGGGGAGGCCGGGGACGGCGATCACGATGAACATCGGCGACATGAAGGTGCCTCTGCCTCCGCTCCCCCTGCCGGAGGGGAGCCTTCGCCCCTCGCCGCATCGGAACTACGCTGGTCCCCAAGCGGTGCGTTTGAGGGAGGAGGGCTACAGCTCGTCCCGCCTGGCACTCCGCACGTCGTGGAGAAGAAGGCCAGGCCTACGGTCATGAGCAGCACTCGCGGCTTCAACACAGACGCAAAGACGTTCTTTCCTGGAGTTCTGTACACATTGGAGGGGGAGACCAACCGAGAAAGTCCAGCGTCGAGGGCGGCTGCGAGACCAGCTTCAACGACGACGAGTCCACCTTCAAGGACATCAAGGTAAAATTCCACATTCCCGAGGGCGCTTTGCCCACCATCTCCGAGGGCGTCTTCCCGTCCGTCATCAGCAACATCGACGGCGACTTCCAGCCCAACTTCGAGGGCGACTTCCAGCTCGCCTCGAGTGAGGAGCGACTTCGAGGGAGACTTCCAGCCCTCTTTCAAGAACGACATCGAAGGCCACGTCGAGCCGTACTTCGACTCCGAGGGGCTCGCCAAGTGCGACACTGCGGAACGCTTAGAGTCCGACGTGGAGGACATCGGCGACCCCGACAACGAGGGCCACATCGAGCCAAACGAGAGCGATCAGAGGCAGTACACGGAGGAGCAATTCGCGTCTCTGGGTGCTGACCATCTGGCGATCCTGAAGCGCTTGGGCTACATTGCCTGTGGAAGATCTACATGGGACCCTTGGACATCTTCGGTCGATGCATTGGCAACTGCATCATTGTGAAGAACGCTTTCGAACCAAACCAGCGCGTCCCGTCCTGCGCGGCCCCACGATTAGGGGCCTGGGCGTGCGCGGAGCACTGGAAGAAAAACAACCCTCATCCCCCCCCCACCTTCCCCTCCGTCTCCCCCTCCTCCTCCTCATCCTCCTCCTCCTCATCCTCCTCCTCCTCCTCCTCAATTTCCTTTCTACCCACTCCTCCTCAATCTTCACAACTACCCAATCTGAGTACTACTCTCCTCTCTCCCCCTTCCCCACTCACTACGTCCCGAAAGTGTACCTCTCTCTCCCGCTGCAACGTGGGCATCAATTTAGGATCGGCGCTTGCCTCCCGTCGTTCAGACTGGCGCTCTCGCTCCAGCGCGGGCCACTTTTCCGGATCCGAGTCCATCCTCATCGGTGTCGCACTGCTCATAACCCCCCCCCGATCCGCTGGTCGCCATGACCTTTCCGCTCCTCCTGCTGCTGCCCTTCCTCACCCTCATCCTTCCTCACTCCCCTCCTTCTTCTCATCATGCTCTTCCTCGTGCTTCTAACACTGCTCATCCGGCACCGTCTCCCCCAATGTGGGCAGCTCCCCTCGTCTGGTTGCGCATGACACAGTGAGGCTACTTGCGGGTGTCCAGGTCCACTATGGCACCCGTCAATGAACATCATGAACATCAACGCGATGGAAAGCGATGGGTGAAACGGGTAGGATGCAAGACATGGCACGGACTCGCCCAAGTTGCCTCATCCGCTCTTCTCTCTCCCTGCTTTCCCCGTCCCTCCTCGTCCTCGCCCTCGTCCAACCTCCGCCGTCGCCACCCCCTCATCATCCGTAATCTGCCCCGCCTGGCTGGGGATGGACCCTCGCCCGGGCGCAAAAGATTTGTTTTGGGTCGGGCATGTCCTCCTACAGGTGGATGTTGGAAGAAAACTAAGAACAGGCGAAACATACGAACAAAAAATCAATCAACAATCGTAGAAAAATCGTCACCTGACAATTATTACTTATGTTTTGAATATTCCTGCTGTAGAGGGGCATGCCCGACTTAACATGTGCTGTTGCTTATCTCGCCCCCCGCCAGATGCTGCCGATCTGCTCCCCTTTGCCCTTCCAGACCTCCCGCTCCCCTCCCTCCTGCACGCGGTCCAGATCCTCCTTCCTCCTCGTCTTCATCGCCCCCCTGCCTCCCTCATCCTCCTTTCTCCCTCGTCCACCTCTTCCTCGCTCGTTCGGTTAGTCTCGCCTCTTCCCGCCTCCTCCTCCACCTCCTTCTCCTCCTCCTCCTCCTCCTCTGTCCCCCGTCCTGTATTCCGATCCATCCGTCTCCCCTCTCGTCATTCCTCTTGCTCTCTCCTTCACCTCCTCCACATCCTCCCTCCTGTTCGTGGCCTCCCCTCGTCCCCCATCCCCTCCCTCGCCCCAATCATCACAAGCACCGTAATCACCCCCCTCCTCTCGCATCCTCCCTCATCCCTCTCCCGAGCCACCCTCCCGTCTCCCCCTCCCTCTCCCTCCTTATGCTGCGCTTCCCCCGCCCCACCCTCACGCCTCCGAACCCCCATTACCCCTCCTCCTCCTCCTCCTCCTCCTCCTCCTCCTCCTCCTCCTCCTCCTCCTCCTCCTTTTTCCTCCACCTCCTCCTCATCCTCCTCCTGGTTCTCCTCCTCCTCCTCCTCCTCCTCATCCTCCATGCTGCTCCTCTTCTTCCTCCCTCTCCTCCTCCCGCCGTGGTTACTTACTCATTCCCATCCTGTTCTTCGGACCTCGGGGGGGGGGGGGTCGAGCCCCCCCCGAAGCACCCAAGACGCCCAAGAGACCCCCTTGACCGCCAAGAGACCCCAAGACGCCCGAAGAGGCCCCCCAAAGGCTCCCAAGAGACATCCCAGAGGCATTCAAGATGCTTCTGGCTATTCTGCTGGTCCTCGTCCTCCTTCTTCTCCTCCTCCTCTTCCTCCTCCTCTTCCCCCTCCTCCCCCTCCTCCTCCTTCTCCTCCTTCCCCACCTTCGGATCCGTCTCCTCATGATCCTGCTTCTCCTCCTTCTCCTCCTTGCTCGCCCTCCTCGTCCTCGCCCTTCCGACGACGACGATTCCTCCTCCATCCTCCCCCTCTTGAAGTATAGGACAGCTTCCCCCGCACTTTGATACCTATACGAACACCCTTCGGGTGATACGGAGGTCCGGGGGGGAACCATGGTCTCACTCGATCGGTCGCACGATCGATCCCACTATCGATCTCACTATCGGTCCCGCTCGATCGATCCCACTCGATCGATCTCACAAGCGATGGTACTCGATCTATTTCATTCAATCGATCTCACAATCGATCTGACTATCGATCTCACAATCGATCTCACTATCGATACCACTATCGGTCTCACAATCGATCTCACATTCGGTCTCACTATCGATCTCACTACCGAAATCACCATCGATCCCACAATCAACGTCATCATCATCAACAACATCATCGTCATCAACGTCATCAACATCACCATCATCGGGACACCAACATCATCATCACATCATCATCCTCATCATCAACATAATCATCATCAACAACATCATCATCACCATCATCATCATCGACAACACCATCATCGGGACACCATCATTATCATCACCATCATCGGAGCACCACCATCCTCATATCATCACCATCATGGACAACATCACCAACATCAACACCATCGGGACACCATCATCATCATCATCAACATCATCATCACCATTATCGGGTCACCATCGTCAACATCATCATCACCTCATCACCATCATCATCAACATCAATATCATCACCCTCATCACCAAAACCCATCATCGTCATCATCATCAACATCATCATCATCATCGGGACACCATCATTATCATCACCATCATCATCCGCCGCATCATCATCAACTTCAGCATCGTCATCATCACCATCAACAACGGGACACCATCATCATCATCATCATCATCATCATCATCATCATCATCATCATCGTCATATCATCATCACGTGATCATCAACAACATCATCATGACCATCAACATCATAATCATTGGGGCACCAACATCATCAACAACATCACCATCATCAACCACATCATCATCCCCATCATCGGGACACCATCAGCATCACCGCCATCACCATCATCACCATCATCATCAACATCGTCGACATCATCATCATCGTCATCATCATCATCATACTCGTCATCCTCATCATCATCATCGGGACACCATCATCATCACCACCATCACCATCACCATGTTCAACATCATCGACATAATCCTCCTCTTCCCCATCATCATCATCATCATCATGACACCGACGGTACACCGGCGGGACACCGCGGGCCACCGGCCCCCGGAGAGGAAACATTTGGTCCGGCCGCGCCTCAACCGGAGGCGGGACACAGGCGGGACACCGCGCGCCACCGGCCCCAGGAGAGGAAACATGTGGTCCGGCCGCGCCTCAGCCGGAGGAGACTTTCTTCGCGCCCGCCCACGCAGCTTCGCCTCGCCCGCACGCACGGCACGCACGAATACGAAACCGAAACCGATTTCCCGGTAGGGGGGCTCTCCCTCCCACTTCGATCCTACCCCTCACCTCCGATTCTGCATGCTCCCCCGCTTCCCTGATGACCTCAACTCCCCTGGACATCGTTTCTGGATGGGCTGGTGGGGATTTTTTTTGTCGCGACCGCAGGCGAGAGCGCCAGCGGCGAGTCAAGTCCGAGCGGGCCGCGCAAGAGTCGAATTACCTAACGCCGACGGGCCGGCGACCTCAGGCAGCGCCTCGGCGGGCGGGCCGGCGAGAGGGGGGGTGCAAGCTGCAGTTGCCAAGGATCTGGTCCAGGGGCGCGCACATGCAAATTATCCAACCAGGGTTGGGGCGCAGCCAACATGGCGCGAGGGTAGTACCAGGGTGTGACCAGGGAGGCGGACAGCCAGTACACTGCGACGACTGCCATGAATGCCCAAACTGGTCCAAACTGGTGCATTGGGTGGCGCCACCAAAGTCGCACACCAATTCCTCAGAGGGAAATACTGATCCTGCGAACGCCCGTCCACGCAAGGCCCCAGGGACGGGCGAAGTAGTCAAGGGAACGATGGATGCAACCGACACCGTCAGCGCCTGAACCACCTGATCAGGTAAAGCCACGCGCACTCTCGAGCAGGAACCGACGACTGAGGGCTGACCGAACCAGGGAGATCCACGCCTCAGCACCGGAACGAGGGAGCCAGAGGATGCCGTGGGCGTCGCCGCCAGGGACCGTGGGACAAAACAACACGGTCGGCCGACAGCCAGGAGCGCACAGGCTGAACCACGTGCACTCAGGAGCCCCAGGCGCCCCGGGATGGGGTTGAGCCGCTGGAGCGGGGGGAGGACAAGGGCGAGGAAAGAGGGGAGGCGAGCGATCGGCACCTCGTGGCGACTTGCGACGGGGCGGCAACCGCGGAGTCGCGGGGCCGCTCCCCCGCCCGGCCAGGACGCGAACCACTCACAAGCCACGGGGCGAGAGCGGAGGCGGAGGAGGAGGGCGAGGAAACTGGTGGGGATACGCGAAGCGTCAACAAGTAGACAGGGGAACCGATTGCAGGCGCGCGAGTCGCGGAGAGGGCTGAGTGGAGCATAGGCTTAAGTTCTGAAGAAGTGCTAGTAAGTATGTAGGGCTCAGTTACTTACTACTAAGAACAACTAAGTTACTTAGTGCCACGGAATAAGTAACCTAGCTCGCTGCCCAAAAGAAGACACATACTTATGAGTAGCACAAGTGCAATTGCAAAACCAAGCGAACACTTACATCATTTACAGAATTCTTACACAACTTGCG